ACAAAACAACAAAAACATACCTTTACGTTACTATGTTATTAAATGTTGAATACCTTATGAATTCAGAGTCTTAAAAAGCAGTATCCAAGAGGAATTTTTTTTTTATAATAAAAGTAATTATAACAGATGTTAACTAAAAGGCAAGGCAAAAAGTAGTGGTATACCAGGCAAAAATTAAAAGTTTTGGAAAAGCTCTTCTTATTATGCCATATGAGAAAATAAAATAAGAAGCTCTTAGAAGTAGACAGATTTTCTAATAACATTTTTTATTAATGCATACTTCTAACTTCCATTTAGGCAAACAGTTCTTTATAGTGTAGAGTTTATGATTACATAAGCATTGAAGATTTTATCTTCTTGGATGCTATTGGGCAAATCTACCTAAAATATTTGTGGTTTTGATGTGAGATTTTGCAGCTATGAAGCTTGATTTCTTTGCAAGTCTGCAATTTGTTTAAGTTTATTTACATAAGGAACACCAAATTAGCTTGTTATACTTAGAGTTATTCAAGTATGTCCAATTTGCATTCCCATAATTTGAATCCCACACATTCAATTTAATCTTCTTTCCATTGCTTTCTCTGGCTGCCTTCAAGATTAAGAATGACATACATATTTTTGGATGTTTCCTACTATATGTCCCTGAAAATTTAATTCAGAATATTTTTGTCTTTTATTTTAAACCATTTTTTCTGGAGGATGGTGAGAATCTGAAGATGTGAGCATCTCTAAGGATTTTGCATCTATTCCAAACATGCATGCTTGTAGAAGCAAATGTTACAATGTCCATTCTTTTAATATAGGATTCCATTTAGAATTTTAGCATGGATATTGGAGGTACTTTTAAGAGATTTTGATATTTTTATTTGGATATTGCTATGATTTCTGGATAGCCCTTCATGTATTACTGTGGGCAGCCTTTCATATCGTCAGAGAAAGCCACTTTATTTTACTGAATAACTGTTTAGATATTTACTCTTCTCTATAAAAATTCTGGTAATTTTAGCCTGAAGCAAAAGGACTTCTGCTCTTGGAAATATTTTTATTTTAAAAAGAACTTTAACTTTTAAGTCAAAGTTACTAATGTATAATATAACAATAAAATGGTACTGAAGAGCTTTTAATAAAATAAAATGGTTCCCTTTTTCTCCCAAACCACCAGTGCTCGCCCTCAGTACTTCTAAAGTCAACAAACATTAACTGAGGGTTTATTTGTAATGATTTTAAAAAATATCATCTCTAAAAATATAACTCAACTACTATACTTTGATTTATAGTTTTAAAACATTTTCTATCTAATTCCTCATGTAACAGACATGATTTACCTTACTCACATGCTGCCACCAATATGTAATTGTATTAATTATGGATTATTCAACTGCTTTTCTTTAAATTAAAAAAAGAAATAAACAAAACAACAAAAACCAAATCAACCTCTCTCTCTCTCTCTCTTTCTCTCTCTCTCTCTCTCTCTCTCTCTCTCTCTCTCTCTCTCTTTCTCTTTTTGTAGAAACACATATGTCATATAATCTGAAGCCAAAAGAGAAGACATAAAATTGGCTTGTTTGCTCAGTATGGCAACAAGGTCACCAGTAAGATTTGTGTAATTTCTGCTAAGATTTATAATACAGTACCCTTAGCAGCATATTGTTATAGGCAGCACTTCAGATACTTGTGTTGCTTCCTAGCTAAAGGTTTTTTCAGAAGATGAATAATATTAATAATAACAATAACAACAACAGCTACCATTACAATAAAGAGTTTAGAATTTCCAGGCCTTCTCTAAATTCCTTCTGTGTACTTTGAAATTCTTACCATGCCTATGAGGTATTATTATGCCCATTTTATAGATGAGGAATCAAAAGCACAGAGAGATTATGTCACTTACCCGATCTAGTTACTATAATTGGCAACTTAACGCTCAACATTTAGTGATGAAAAGCAACTGTTGTTTCTACTCATGGATTCTGAGTCAGAAATTGGGACAGTACCCAACAGAGAATGCTTGCCTCTCTCTACTTCAAGAGACTAATCCTGAGACTGAGTTATTCTGCTTTTCTTTTGCTATTGACTTGTAGTTTCCTTCCATTGTGCTTGGAAAAGTACTTCAAGCTTCTTAAATTTATTAAGACTTGTTTTTGACCTAACATATAATCTATCTGGAAACTATTCCATGTGTTCCCGAGATGAAAGTATATTCTGCTTCTGTTTTGTACGATGTTTTACACATGTATTCTAAGCCTTTTCCAGAATGTCAAGTAGTTGGAATCATATAGTATTCAGCCTTTTTAGATTGGTTTATTTCACTTAGTAAGATGCAGTTAAGGTTTCTCTATATCTTCTCATGGTTTGATAGCTTATTTCTTTTCCGCATAAGACAATATTCCATTGTCTGCATATGCCATCGTTTACTTATCCATTTACCCAGTGAAGGACATCATAATAGCTTCGGAGTTTGGGCAATTATGAATAAAACTGCTGTGAACATTTGTGTATTGGCCTTATACAGGATAAGACTCTCACCAATCACCTTGGCCAGTGCTTCTGTGGGCCTTTCCAACCTTCATGGGAGTGTAAACTGCTGTCTTCCTTCTTTGAGGCTCGCAGATGTCTAAAATATGACCAGTCCCATCAATGTGCCAAGCAAGGTGAGACAGAATCCTGTTCCTTGGGCAACTCCTGAAAAAGAACATTTGACATGTGGGCCAAGTCTTTCCTTCCTCAGGGAGAAGCTAAAACATTTTTTTAATATATTTTTATTGGTTTGAGAGAGAGAGAGAGAAACATCAATGAGGAGAGAGAATCATTGATCATCTGCCTCCTGCACACCCTACACTGGAGATCAAGCCTGCAACCCGGGCATGTGCCCTGACTGGCAATCAAACTGTGACTTCCTACTTCATAGGCCAATGGTCAACCACTGAGCCTTGCCGGCTGGGCTGGAACATTTTTTGTTTTGTTTTGTTAATGCTCATTCACTCTGCATTAAGCCAGGGAAACAAACTGTAGTGAGTGCCCATGCACTCGTTTTAACCACAACCTTTATTCTCTGCAGTCCCAGGGGCCTACTGTGCCAGACCCAGCCAATGCTCCTAGACAGGCAAGACAAAAGCCCAGTCCTTCAGGTAGCACCTGGAAAAGTTAAGTTGGATATGCAATCTAGCTCTCTCTCCCTGAGGAATAAGGTAAGAGCTAGAGGTTTCCTCCTGATCATCTGGCTCACTGTCAGAGGTAAGGATTATGATGAGACGATGTCTCTAATTTTCCTACCAGTTTTGATGTGAATGGTTTTGCATCTGCCTGGGATGCAAGAGCCTCTCACCTAATTTTTGAATTTATCAGAAAAGAAATTGATCTGTGTAATGCTGTTGCATCGGTATGTCCATAGGAGGAAGGATAGTATAGGACTTCTGTTCTGCCATCTTGCTAATATTACCTCTAAGATTTCTTAAAAGGAGGTGTATGGTGTAAATATTATTTGCCCTTGTAAATAAAAAAGTTTCACAATTCAATAAAATAAGCTTACACTATGAGTTTTAAATAAACATTTACATATTTGGAGGAATTGTATTTATGTCTTCTATTATCTGATTTTGCTACTGAGAAATGTAACTTTTTTTTTTCTGAAAAACATTTTAGGAATGATGGCCTTATTTCTGATACTCTAAAATTTATAGTGATATGCATTGGGGTGCGTATAATTTTCTTTTTTGTCTTGAAATTTCACCTCTTTCAAACAAGGTTCATGTCCTTCAGATTTGAAGACCTATCTTTAATTATGCTTTTGCTAATTTCTGTCTTTCATCTCTCATTTTTTCTTTCTAGGATCTTTCTTATTTAGAAATTGGATACCATAGATTGATCTTTCAGCTCTTCCTCCCACCCTCCCCCTGCTATCAGTTTCCTGTTACTTGCTTTTCTGTTTCATTTTTAAAAGATTTTCTGAAATCTCTCTTCCTGCCAGCCAAACTTTGTTTCTGCTTATTTCCACTACATCTATTTATTTTAGTGAAGTATCTTCCCATTTCTCTGAGAAATCATTAATTGGTATTTTTATGTGGTCCTTTTTAATGCATTCTGGGTCTGTTGTTATTTTCTCTACTGTGTGTGTGTGTGTGTGTGTGTGTGTGTGTGTGTGTAGTGTTTTATTCCTTTCAGATTGGAGAATTCTTCAAATGTTTAGAATTAGAGGTTTGCTTCGTTCAAAAGTGAAGGGCTACAGAGCTGATAGAAAGAAATTTAGGCATATGTGGGGCTTGCTAACACTACGCGTAGTGTCTTAGTGTGCCAGCAATATAATTTGGGAATCCTGCAACTAACAATGAAATGCTCCAACCATTTACCTGGGAGTCAATAGGTGCAGCAAACTTTTCTTCTAGTGTTGTTGTAAGAACTGCCTCAGCCACCACCAACCTTCACAACCTCCACCCTTACCAGTCAGCAACCATCTGCATTGAGGCAGGACACTAGCAGCTGAAAGGTTATGCTCTGTGAAGGTTCAGACAATGATTAACATTTCTCAGTAGGAAAATATTTTGAAATTAAGGTACTTAATTATTTTATTAGACATAATACTTTTGTGCTCTTAATAGACTAAAAAATAATACAAACAGAACTTCGATATGCACTGGGAAGCCAAAAATCTTGGTGACTTGCTTCATTATGATATTCAGTTTATGGTGGTGGTCTGGAACCAAACCCACAACATGCCATAGATAGATATCTTGCTCATAAAGTTGTGTCACACCTGTTTCCGGGGAAACTGACCCAAGACACTCTCTTAACTGGAGTTGGCCAATCCATACCCTAATGCCTGCCGTTATCACGACTCAGCTAATTTCTGCGACCTTTTGGTTCCCATTCTTGTTACTAATGGCATGTACCTCCAAGGCTCAATTTTTCACTTGCATGGAGACAGCCATGAACTGAATGGTGGAGTCAGCATGATCAAGATGTCAACAGTAAAACTAACAAGCATTTTTTGTTTGACAAAGCAAAAAATTAGGGCGTGGTGCTTATGACTATACATATCCTATTGAGAGTTTTTTTTATAAATAATCACTAGAGTGTAAACAATTGAAAACTGGGGAGCACTAGTAAGAATTAGGTTGCTGTTCAAAATTTTGCATTATGAAAAACATTATATATATATATACCTGTGTGTGTTTACAACCATGATCTTCTTGATTTTTTCTAATTATACGAGGGAATCTCCAAGTTATAATATTAATTTAGGGCCAATTGGAACCAATGTGCCATCATCATCATTGTCTTTGGTTTTGGTTTCCTGCCCA